GGCGGTGCGGCCTGAGGGAAGGGCGGGGCCCGGGACGACCTCGCGGGGCCCGGGACGACCTCGCGGACCCGGGGCCGCCCTGGTTCCTCGGCCGGAACCTGTCGCCTGAGCCCCGCGGGACTCAGGCTTGGGGTCCCCGCGCTGGGTCTGGACCGGAGCGCCGACGCGCGAGGAGGGATCCGGGCGTGCAGGGCCGGGAGGGAGCGGGCCCCGAGATCCCCGGGCCCCGAGATCCCCGGGCCCCACTCGCGACGCCCAGCGGCCCCAGCCCACGGAGCCCGGCCTCGAGGCGGGCTGAACGTGCGCGAGAGGCAGCTCCGGTGGCTGCTTCGGGCCCTCCTTGCACACTAGGGACCCGAGGAGATGGAGGTGCCTGTAAGGGAGCATCTCTCCCGGGGTTTCCAGGGGCGACGGCGACCCTGTCCCTGGGGGAAAATGCGCAGAGGGCAGCAGGGAGGGGTCCCCGCAGGCTCCAGGCAGGGCCGCAGCCATCTGGGGGTACTCAGACCTGCTTCCAGCCAGCAGTGAGCAGTCTCTTCATTGCACTACTATTGTAGAAAACAGAACGAAAAGCGTGCCTCTTTTAAATAAAGAGAAAAATCTGTTCTGGTTCATAATACTGTGCCCCAGTGATTTCTGGTAATTAACTGCTGTGCTGAGTGTTTCACCTAAAACTTTAAGAACGGTATGACAACAAACCAGCTTCCATCCAGGCACCGAACACAATTACTGGAGGGTTGGGGACCTGGTGGATGTAAAGGGCTGCACGTTCAGGACTGGCTTCGTGAATGTGCCGCCCGCCCCTGCGCTCAGAAACCGTTGCCTTCCTGAAATTCTTAATAATTTTTGAACAAGAGACCCCGTATTTTCATTTTGTACTGGCTCTACAAGCTACGTAGCCATCTTGCTTGTATCATTTTGTACTCTCCCCTTGGCCCCCACCCCCGTCTTTTTTTTGAATTTAATAAACCCGAAACCAGTTGCGGTTGAGTCGATTCTGACTCATAGCAACTCTATAGAACAGAGTAGAATTGTCCCATGGGGTTTCTGAGGAGCGGCTGGTGGATTCCAACTACCGACCTTTTGGTTAACAGCCGAGCTCTTAACCACTGTGCCACCAGGACTCCTTAAACTTAATAAGCATAATGAATTAAAATAATTTATTTTAAAAATAATACAGTACTTTTGCACCTAGGGATGAGTCTATTATCTCCTCTTGAGTTTTGTAAAGCTTATAGTGAGCTTGTAACCTCAAGGTCCTGGGTGAAGGTAGTTTCACAACTCACTTTGAAAGTATTAGATGTTTCTGTATTTTGTGCTTTTTTAAAGATGCCTTTGAAAATTCCACACAGGCTGAACAAGGCTTTGAGAAACAGGAAGTGCATTTACCTTGTAACCTCAAATTACATCCCCTATAATTAAAGTGAAGGAGCCTGAGTGGCTCAAGCAGTTTGCAATTGGCTGCTAACCCAAAGGTTGGTGGTTCAAACCCACCCAGTGGCTCTGTGGAACAAAGGCCTGGCTGTTTCAGTAAAGATTACAGCCAAGAAAACCCTAAGGAGCAGTTCTACTCTGTAACACATGGGATTGCCATGAGCTGGGGACTGACTCAATGGCAGCTAACAAAAACAACAACATAATTAAAATGAAACTTTGGTAATTATTTATTGTGATAAATAGTAATATTTAAAAGATTTCCCAGCAAACAGGAAGTTCTTGTGTACAGGACTCTCCTCCAAGTTCCTGAAAGGTGGGTGTTATATAGTTGAAGCAAATTTTAAAGGTACTAAGGGAGCTTGTTATATAAAGGAATTCTCTGGGAAAGAGTCCTTTTCTAAAGCAAATATCACCTCATGGTTTACCTAATCTGTTATTCTAGGTTTTCATAGGCTTGTTTTACTAAAAGCGATCTAATTACACTGACCTTTGGCTAGAATGTGGCGTTGATGAGGTCCTTCATCGATCTTCATCAAATCCAGTTTGCTTTCCTCAGTCCCTGGATAAGGAAGGAGCTCATCCCAGATTCTGGCTAATGCAAATGCATACCTTCAGTCTTAAGGAGGAATGGTGAGAAAATCCTAGTAAATCGATGAAAGGTCATCATCCTTGTTTGAGTATTCTAAAAGGGTATTCTTTGATGAGTGACTTGGTAGTGTCATCTTTGACTGGAAATGAGCATTTTTTTTAGATTGCAAAGGCCTATGGATTTCAATAGCACTATGTCTGTTGTTAGGTGCTGTCGAGTTGGTTCTGACTCATAGTGGCACGATGTACAACAGAACGAAACACTGCTCCGTCTTGCACCATCCTCACAATCGTTGCTATGTTTGGGCCCATTGTTGCAGCCACTGTGTCAATCCATCTCGTTGACGGTCTTTCTCTTTTTTGCTAACCCTTTACTTTACCAAGCATGATGTCCTTCTTCAGGGACTGATCCCTCCTGATAATAGGTCCAAAGTACAGGAGACGAAGTCTCACCATCCTCAATTCTAAGGAGCAATCTGGCTGTATTTCTTCCAAGACAGATTTGTTTGTTCTTCTGGCAGTACATGGTATATTGAATATTCTTTGCTAACACCATAATTCAAATGTGTCAGTTCTTTGGTCTTCCTTGTCCACTGTCCAGCTTTTGCATGTATATGAGGCAATTGAAAATACCATGGCTTGGGTCAGGCACATCTTAGTCCTCACAGTGACATCTTTGCTTTTGAACACTTTTTAAAGAGGTCTTTTACAGCAGATTTGTCCAGTGCAATGCATCTTTTGATTTCTTGACTGCTGCTTCCATGCTTGTTGATTGTGGATCCAAGTAAAATGAAATCCTTGACAATTTCAACGTTTTCTCCATTTATCATGTCGTTGCTTATTAGTCCAGTTGTGAGGATTTTTGTTTTCTTTATGTTGCGGTGTAATACATACTATGACTCCATGGAAGTAGCTGGGACATTTAATAAGTATTTATTCTGTCAGAGAGTCAAAATCAGATAATAGATTTTCAAGGGAATTTTTGGCCTTTTTTTAAACTTTTGTTATTGAAAGTTTGTTTGAAAAGTCAACTCCTGAACATGTGATGATAATGAGTAGGGAGTTTTCTAAATTACCCAGAAGCCAAGAAGAGATTCCAAATTCATTGTGATTAGATTCCGAGGGTGTTATCTTTTGGAGAGTGCAGCCTTATCTTCTACATCTTTTGGAGGGTGCAGCCTTATCTTCTGTTTACTAAGACTACAGGTTAGATTGGACTGCTTTTAGTTAGCCACTGTCTGCAGAACTGAAGTCCTGGCACCACTGTTTGTAGACAGTTTCAGCCTTTCCCATATAAGGTAGTATTCACTCTTTTGTCATATAAGGTGGTATTTATGGGTTCCAGGGATTAGGAATTAGATATTGTTGGGTGCCATTAGTTAGCTTACCACAAGTAGCTTCATTAAAAAATTAAGATGAAATGTGTGAAATTAATTTTAATACTAGATTTTACTTAACCTAGTATATCCAAAATATTTCAACATGTAAGCAATGTAAAAAAGTGTCAATAAGATATTTTACTCCCTTATTTTCCTACTAAGTCTTCAAAATTTGGTGTGTATGCCCAGGTTCCCGGTTCTCTGGGTGTCTTGAGGAGAGGAGGTTTTGATCTGGGGCACAGCTGCATACATAATGGGGTCATACTCCAGTAGAGGGACACCACCCCCATGGGCTTGCCCCTGTTTAGGGAAATGGTGGCTTTGCTCAGGGACTAAGCATTTTAGGCTAAGTTTCCTAGAGTGCTGGGCTTACGTGCCAGCTGTTTAGGGGAGGGCTGGGAAAGGCCAGCTGTCTGGCATTTGGAGAGTTCATATGATTCTTGTCGCATGGAAAGTTGAATTCACGTGCAGCCCCTTCCTCTGGTAGTTGTGTGTGGTAGGGGGATGGCCTAGTAGAGCTGAGTCTTTGGCTTTCCCTACTACCTTGTTCCCAGGAAACCTGTAGTGGGTCAAATGGTGGTTCCTCCCAAGAAAATATGTCAATTTGGGTGGAACCTGTGAATATGACACTATTTGTGGATGGAATTAAGGTATGGATCTCCAGATGAGATCATCCTGGATTAGAAAAAAACCAAGAACCAACCCAGTTGCCGCTGAGTCGATTCCTACTCACAGCGACGCCATGTATGTCAGAATAGAACTGGGCTCCATAGGGTTTTCAATGGCTGATTTTTCGAAGTAGATTGTCAACCCTTTCTTCCAGGGTGCCTCTGGGTGGTCTCGAACCACCAACCTTTTGGTTAGCAGCTGAGTAAGTTAACCCTTTGTACCACCTAGGGACTCCTTCCTATATTAGTATGGGCTGTAAATACAGTAACAAGTGTCCTTACAAGAGAAGAGAATGGGAAAAGACACACAGAGGGGAAGGCCATGTGAGGAAGGAGGCAGGGAGTGGAGCTTAATGTTTCTATAAGCCAAGGAACACCAAGAAGTGCCAGCAGCCACCAGAAGCTAGGACAGAGGCATGGAACAGGATCTCCTCTAGAGCCCACAGAAGGAACCTATGCTGCTGGACATCTTGATTTAAAATGTCTGGCCTCTAGAAATGTGACAGAACAAATGTTTGTTGTTTTAAATCACCCAGTTTGTGGTAATTTGTTACGGTAGCCACGGGAAACCAATAGAATACCCATAGTTGTTCATCCGATAGGCCTGCTTGAATCGAGAGCTGAAAATGGTGGAAATAGGATTTTAGTTTGTCTGATTCTCAAGCTGGTGCTCTCAGCTACTACACTCTTCTGCTCCTTGTGACCTGACCTTATCCATGCAGGCCTTGAGCCAGGGTCACCTCCTGAGGTGGAACTGAGATAGGGATTGCTTAGGAGGGTGGTCCCAATTAGGAGGGAGGTAGGGCAGCAGCAGGCGGGGGCGGGATAAGTGGCAGGTCAGAAATTGGGGCAAACCAGGTGTGGTCCTGTGGCTGAGGCAAGGACTGGAGCCTCAGGAGAAGCCCAGTGTGGCCAGACCGGACCTGAGGCAATGATGGCTGGGGCTGCTCACAGAGACTTGTTTTGGATGTGGATGAACTGCTAGGTTGTTTGTTTTTCAGTGTGGTGCCACACCCAAGAATGTTCCAGTTGAGTCTTAAAAGGCTTAGCCCCTCCAGAGAGGGGCTGGTTTCCCTGAGTGGGTGATTTTGTCTTCTTCTAAGAACTCTGCCAGTTTGTCTCCAAAATGCGTTTTGCCCTTAGGGCGAATGAAACTCAGGCGGCTCTGAACCAACACCAAATCCTCTTAGCCTTCGCTTCAGTAGCTTTCCTGGCACTGGGGCCATAGGTGGGCATTGGACCTGAACCTGACACTGACACCATCAGCTCCAGTCACTGTGGGAGTCTGCACGTAACAGGTTTTAATGGATGTCGCTGATGGACTGGCCTTATCTTGGGGTGCCTTGGCTGCCTACCAGCCCAGGGGAGCTGCTTGCTGGAGGCCCATCCCAGAAAAAAAGAAAAGCATATTGTCTTCGCT